TCTTCTTCGATCTCTTTGGTAACCCAATCATTGTTTAATAGCATGCTATTTAGCCTCCAAGTGTTTGATTTTTTTTCATTGTTTTTATTGTAGTTGATTTCTAGTTTTCTGCCATTGTGATCTGAGAAGATGCTTATTATGATTTCTATCCTCTTGAATTTGAAGAGACTTTGCCTGTGTCCTACGACTTTGCCTGTGGGTTATCTTTGAAAATGTCCCGTGTGCACTGGAAAAGAATTCATATTCTGTAGCTTTGGGCTGAAATATTCTGGAGATGTCAATTAATTCCATCTGATCTAGTGAGTCATTTAGGATTGCTGTTTCTTTGCTGATTTTTTTGTTTAGAGGATTTATCAGTGATGTCAGTGGGCTATTAAAGTCCACCACCTGTGACTGTATTGCTATCAATCTCTCCCTTGATATCTTCCTGAAGTTGCTTTATGTATTTGGGTGCTCCTGTATTGGGTGCATATATGTTTACCAGAGTTATATCTTCTTGTTTAATTTCTCCCTTTAGTATTATGTAGTGGCCTTCCTTATCTCTTGTTATGGCCTTTACTTTGAGGTCTATTTTGTCAGATATAAATATCGCAACCCCAGCTTTTTTCTCATTTCCATTTGTCTGAAAAATTTTTTTCCATCCCTTCACTCTCAGTTTGTGTGAATACTTTGTTCTGAGGTGTGTCTCTTGCAGACAGCAAATATATGGTCATGTTTTCTTATCCATTCAGCTACCCTCTGTCTTTTGATTGGAGCATTTAATACATTTACGTTTAATGTTATTATTGATAAGTACTTATTTGTCGTCATTTTTATTCTTAATGTTTGTGTTTCTTCTCGCCTTTTTGTTTCTTCTTTTTACAGCAGTCCCTTTAGCATTTCTTGCATTGCTGGCTTGGTCGTAATAAACTCTCTTTTAACCCTTTTTTTCTGTGAAGCTCCTGATTACACCTTCAATTTTGACTGATAGCCTTTTTGGGTATAGTATTCTTTGATTCAGTCCCTTGCTTTGAATCACTTTGTATATTTCATTCCATTCCCTTCTGGCCTGGTGTGTTTCTATTGAGAAATCAGTTGATATTCTAATAGGAGATCCCTTGTAGGTAACCTTTTGTCTCTCTGTGGCAGCCTTTAAGATTCTTACTTTTTTGTTGGTTTTTGCCAATTTAATTATGTGTCTTGGTGTTGGTTTTTTGGGGTTCATCTTGTTTGGGACTCAGTATGCTTTTTGGACTTGTGTAGTTTTTCCTTGCCAATATCAGGGAAGTTTTCTGTCATTATTTTTTCAAACAGGTTTTCTATTCCTTCTCTTCCTCTTCTTCTGGTACCTCTATTATGCGAATGTTGTTTTGTTTTCTGTTGTCCCAAAGCTCCCTTAGGCTCTCCTCCTGCTTTTTAAATCTTCTTTCCAGTTGCTGCTGTGTTTGTGTGTTTTTTCCTACCTTGTCTTCTAATTCACTGATGCGGTCCTCAGCCTCTTGTAGTCTACTGTTTAAGCCTTCCTTTGTGTTCTTTATTGCAGCTATGTCGTTCTTCATTTCCTCTTGGTTCCTTTTCATGTTGGTGACATTCTCATTCAGCTCCTTATAATTCTCATTGAGTTGTGTGTATTTGTCATTGAGTTGTGTGTATTTGTCATCCAGCCATTTGAGCATCCTTATAACCATTACTCTGAATTCTTTCTCCGATATGTTGGTAGCCTCAGTTTCATTTAACTCCCTTTCTGGTGAATCCTCTTTTTCCTTCCTTTGGGGATTGCTCTTTTGTCTTCCCATGTTTTACTGTAATGTTTTAATTGTAGATCCGATTGCCTTGCTACCCAGGTTCTTTTGGGGATGGTGCTACTGGTGTGACCTCTCAAGTTTCCTGGGCTTGGTAATCTAGCGTAGCTCCCTACTCGAGCTATTTGGGTTCTCTTGATGTAGGCCTGCAAGCTGGAAAGGCGCAACTGCGGTGTCTAGAAGTCAGCAGCTGTAGAGGGGGTGTCCCAATTTTTGCTATCTTGCGCCCTTGGTTCAAATGGCGCGTGCCCAGCGGGGACTCACAGTGGCACCCAGGGTGGTGGGGCTCAAGAGGCCTGCACTCTCGAAAGGCGTTTCTGTGGCGTCCAGAGTTTTGTAGTTGTGGGGTGGGCAGACTCAGCTTTTGCTGATGCCACCATGGTTGGATACACGCGCCTCCAGTGGTGGCTTACAGGGGCACCCACGGTGCGTTTGCCAGCAGGGTGTACTGACGCATTCTGAAGGGCCCGGGCGCTGAAGCCACGGGATTGCAATGTCTGTGGGCAGGTATCCCAGAAGAGGGAATTTAGTGTTTCTACAGCCCAGCAGTGCAGCCCTGTTCGTAAAAGTGCGCGCCCAGCGGGGGTTCACAGAGGCGCCCAAGGGTTGCCTTTGGAGGTGTGGGCTTGGGGGGCCTGTGTGCCGGAAAAGCGTGCAACTGCAGTGTCCAGAGTTCTGCAGCTGTAGGGTGGGAAGACTCAGTTTTTGGTGCTGCACCTGTGGTGGATAGGTGCACACTCCCAGTGGCAGCTCACAGGGGCACCCAGGGTGCGTTTGCCAGTGCGGCACACTAAAGCACTCTGAAGGGCCCTGGCACTGAAGCCATGTAATTGAGGCATCTGTGGGCAGGTACCAGCATGAGTGAATTTAGAATTTCTACTGCCGGGGGAGTGTGTCCCTGTTTGTCCAACATCGCACCCAGCAGGATCTCACAGTGGTTCCCAAGTGCGCCCTGTGGATAGATGGGCTCAGGGGGCCTCCTCGTTGGAAATGTGTGACTGTGGCAGTGTGTTTGCTGGCGCAGAGCTCTGATGCAAGCTGAGGGGCTCTGGCACTGAAGTTGTGCAGTGGTCAGTTATTCAGGAAGAGGGAATTCAAAATTTCTACTGTGGGGCAGCGTGCCCTTGTCTGTACAAAATCACACCCAGCAGGGGCTTACAGCGGCATCCAAGAGCTGCCTGTGGAGTGGTGTGCCCAGGAGGCCTGCACATTGGAACCATGCGAATATGGTGTCCAGAGGTCTGCCCCTGGGGAGGGAGGAAGTTGCACTTACTGCTGCGGGAGCGGTGCACCTTTGGAGGTGGAGGTCCCAGGGTCCATGGGTCTGTAGGTGCGGCAGCAGTATTTTGGCTGTAGTGGCTGCTGGGTCGCGGGCAGTGTCCAAGGCCTGTCTGGGTGGTGGTGCTGTTGAGTTCCTAGAAGAGGCCGCTCTCCCCTTCAAGATGGCATGGGCTCCGTGCCTGAGTCCCCCAGTCTGGGGAGTGCCTGCAGTGGTGGTAGTCTCTTCCTGTACAAGAGAGCCTGTTCTGCCAGCCCCTGCTGCCCCTGCCAGATTTAACTCCCTCACTCACACACACACCACACACATCAATACATTTTCCTTTCATCCCCTCCCTCACTCACATCCTCTCCCTTACCTCTGTCCTGCCAGCCGCCATCTTTTTTCCTCTCCTCTGTAGCATTACATTTTTGAATTTTGGTGAAGTCCAGTATATCAGTTATTTTGTGTATGTAAACTTTCATCAACACTATACTGTTGTTGTTTTTTAATTAATCCTCACCAGAGGATATTTTTTCCATTGATTTTAAGACAGTGGAAGGGAGGATGGAGGGGGAAGAGAAAGAGGAGAGAGAGAAAGAGAGAGAGAGAGAGAGAGAGAGAGAGATGGGAGAAAGACACATGATTGGTTGCCTCCCACATGCACCCTGACTGACTGGGCCTGGTGGTTGAACCTGGAAACCAGGTACATGCCTTTGACTGGGAATTGAACCCGCAACCCTCAGGTCCACGGGCCGACACTCTATCCCCGGAGCCAAACTGGCCTGGGGAATGCTATACTGTCTTGATTGCTCTAGCATTAAAGCAAGTTTTAAAATATGGTAATGAAACACCTACTGCTTTGTTGTTTTTTAAAATTATTTTGGATGTTCTGCATCCCTTAAATTTAGGATAAGCTTACCATTTTCTATTAAAAAGAAAAATCCTGCTGGGATTTTGATAAGGATTGCATTGACTTTGTAGATCAGATTGGTGAGAGTTGTTTATGTAATAATATTGCATCTTCCAATCATGAACATGGGTGTTTCAAGCATCTCCTTCAGTATCTCTAAGCCAGTGGTCGGCAAACTGCGGCTCGCAAGCCACATGCGGCTCTTTGGCCCCTTGAGTGTGGCTCTTCCACAAAATACCACGTGCGGGTGCGCACGTACTCTGCAATTGAAACTTGTGGCCCATGTGCAGAAGTTGGTATTTTGTGGAAGAGCCACACTCAAGGGGCCAAAGAGCCGCATGTGGCTCGCGAGCCGCAGTTTGCCGACCACTGTCTTAGGTTATTATATTAACACATTGAAATAGGAGACCCAACAGTTAGTCTTTCTGATGATTACCAGTATCTTTCCACATGTGGTTTTCCCTGGAACTGGAGAAAACTATGGAATTAGGAGAAAGCATCTCTATTCTGGAATGTAAAATTAAAATAGATTCCCAATAATGTGTGTTAAACTCTGGCAGATTTGATGACTTCTGATCTAGCTCACTTTTTTGTTTTCTTTTTCCACACAGATTGATAGAGCTACATTCTCCCGATAGCAGGAACACATTGATCCTACGCTGCAAGGATACAGCCACCGCACACTCCTGGTTCGTAGCTATCCACACCAACATTATGGCTCTCCTCCCACAGGTGTTGGCTGAACTCAATGCCATGCTTGGTGCAACCAGTACAGCAGGAGGCAGCAAGGAGGTCAACCCTCTCCCTTCCTCTCTGTAAAAAATCAATAAAATATATTTTTTTAAAAAATAAATAAATAAATATCAGCACGAAGCAGATTATTATTATAGATCACGCAGGGAGAACAAAGGGTAAAATATTTAACTGCAGCAGTGTTTGACTATATTCTGCGCAGTGAGAAAACCTGAAGTCATTTTCAAGGTCCACCATTTCTTACTTCTTTTCAGTCGGGTCAAGTTTCTAAGCTTTGTAAATCTCTGTTTTCCAGCTAATGACAAGAAAATAGGATTCCATCGAGTCTCCTGTCTGCCTCCTCCAGGACTTCTGTGAGGATCAAATGAGATGAGGTACGGGAAAATGCTTCACAGACATTTGGTTACAGTGTAAAATGTTTCCACTTGTGCCCTAACTGGTTTGGCTCAGTGGATAGAGCGTCGGCCTGCGACTGAAGGGTCCCAGATTCGATTCCGGTCAAGGGCATGTACCTTGGTTGCCAGCACATCCCCAGTAGGGGTTATACAGGAGGCAGTTTATCGATGTTTCTAACTCTCTATCCCTCTCCCTTCCTCTCTGTAAAAAATCAATAAGATATATTTTTTTAAAAAAATGTTTCCACCTGTGTTCCTGGGCTGAAGAAACTGCAAGGAGGCTAGTTGTTAGGGAGAGGAAGCTGGCCATTGCTACGTGATGTCATTACCCGGAGCCCACAGCGACCATTTTCAGGCTGTGCTGGGTTGTGGCCCGCATTTTGTGCCATGGGGTCTTGGCAGTTGGCTGTGATTTGGTGGGGTATCGCTCTGGGGTGGTGGCAGGGCCTGTGTCCCACTTGGGGGAAGCCGAGTGTTGGTTTGTTGGCGCCAGGTCCGTGGGACTGGCCAGTGTGCGTCATGACAGCTCCTGCATTAAGTGTCTGCCCTCTGGTGGTCAGTGCATGTCATAGCAACCGGTCAGAGGGTAGGAGGAATAGAGCATATTAGCCTTTTATATATATAGCTTAGTTTCAGGTTCACAGTATAGTGGTCAGGCATCCATGTAATTCACCAAGTGTTCTCCCCAGTAGCTCCAGCACCATATATAGTTATTACAATAGTATTGACCATATTCTCTAATGCTGTATTTTACATTCCTTTGTTGATGTAAGAAACATCCAAACCTGTTGAGAATTTTTATGAGTTTACTTGTGCCAAACTGAGGACAATTGCTGGGAAGCAAAATCTCAACAGATTGAAAAAATGCTTTAGAGAATGGCAGTTTTGTTACTTATTTTATAAAATAGAATCAAAGGAGATGTAAGGAGGTTTACATGAAATCGTTTGGTGGTAGATTAAGGGGGTGGGAGAAAGCCAAGTGGAGAAATCCCTGGGATTGGATAAAAAGTAAAATGGAGAGACACATACATCTTTTACACTAATGAATATAGGATAGTTAATATTCATAGCACATAGAGATGGTATGGGGGAACAAGTTAACAGTGATGGGGTCTCTCATAGTCTGGTTGTCTTGTGCTCTGGTGCAGAGGGTGTGCTCTGAAGGGTCAGGAAAAGGAGAGAGATTACTCTGACATTTCAAAAGCATGTTTTCTTAGATGCAAAAACCCAATAGGTAGTCTCACTTACTATAAAGATTGATAAGGAAGTTGCAGGCCTAGGACATGACTACCCATCATGACCCACTTTTAGTTAGGAATTTTTATGTTCAGACCATTCTATGTGGTTACATTTGGTCTCTGAGTTTGTAGAGCCTGCCATGCTGGCCTCCCCTGTGCTTGTCAGCTTTAGTATATGGGCCCTTTTTTGTCCACACAAGTAACTACTTTGTAACTACCAATTTGTACTAATTAATTCACCCTTTCACCCAGTTCCCCAAACCCCTTCCCAACTGACAACCATCAATTAGTTTGTTCTCTGTACCATTTTTAGTAAGCCCCTTGTAATTTTAATGTCCCTAGTATTTTTGGCAGCTAGAATTAAATAATTTAATTCTTAATTAGGCCTTTGTTCACATGCTAAAGTCCCTTCTGGCTCAACTTTTGTTCTTAGGAATGTAGTCATTAAGTTGTTGATGTCTCCTTCAGAAGGAGGGGTAACTTCTCCTTGTTAAGCAGGAGAATTTATGAGAATTTGTTTTATGGAAGGAACGTGTCTCTTTAAAGAAGCTGTGACCAGCTGCTTACACCAGGAAGTCTCCTAGTAATCAAGAAAATGATTAACTGCATACAGACCGAGTGCAGCCCAGCATAAAGCTCCTGCTATTTTCCCATCCTTTCTCCCCTTTAAAAACTCTTCTGCTTGCTCTGGAACTTTGGAGATGGTCTTTGGATATTAGTCTGCTTTCTTTCCAGTCTTCTGGCTTTCTGAATGAAGCAACTTTTCCTTTCTACCAAGCACTTGTCTCTCAGTATTGGTTTTCGATGGGTGAGCAGCCGAACTTGGGTTTTTTGGTAACACTTTGAGTCTGTGTCAAGTTTTGTCTCTTCTTTCGTTAAATTTATTTTTAAATGTTTTATTCTTTTTGATGCTACTCAGAATGCAATATTCTGAATTTCATTTTTGGATAGCTTATTGGTAGTTGTAGAAATACAATTGATTTGTGGGTTTTAATCCATGTATCCTATTACTTCCTCAGCTTCTTTATTAGCTGTAGTTTTGTTGGGGATTCCTTAGAATTTTCTGCATATAGGATCCTATTGTTACAGAATTTACCAGGTGATCAGAAAATACACAACGAGTACTCGGGGATTCAGGAAAAACCTTTTCTTTAAAGCAGCGCTGCTACCTCAGGGGATTCTAAGATCCAAAGCCTGAACAGCCAGTACAATGAGATCACCCCTAAATATATTTCTAAATTCTTTCCTTACTTCCGGGCTTTTGTGGTGGGCTTTCACAGCCCCTCCTGAGTCAGTTAGAATAGGGAAGTTAGATTGTATCTAAATGCCTGGCCTGGGTGGCACCAGCAACTCCCACTCCCTGCCAAGATGCCAAATTCCCTGCCCGTGGCCCCTGCAAACTGGGAGCACCCAGGAAAACAGACTATTGCCTAAGGAAGGGTCAGTGACTTAATTATAGGCTAACAAGACTGTGCTCTAGGACACCGGTCACTGGCACAGATTCAGATTGCTAGGCCCCCCTCCCCCCCAGGTTGCCCCCTATATTCCTCCTCACTATCACCAGCACGTAAGAACAATTTTACTTCTTCTTTTCTAATTTCATTTACTCCCCCGCCCAGCTCCTTCTTATTTACTGCCTAGGACACCTATAATTTTGAATAGAAGTAGTGAAAAGGTTTCACTCTTAGGCATTATTGTAGCTTACAGTATTTTGTTTTATAGATTTCCTTTGTTAGGTTAAATGAGTTTCTTTTTATTCTTACCTTTTGGAAAGTTTAAAGTCTTGAATGTGCTTTGAATTTTCGTGTTTATTGAGCTAATTATATAGTTTTACTTTTTAAATTCAATATATTGAACTACATTGATTGGTTTTTGAATTCTGAAACAGGACTACTTTTCTGGGGTAAACCCTGTTTTGTCAAGATAATTAGGTAGGGCTCTAGCTGGTTTTGCTCAGTGGATAGAGCGTTGGCCTTCGTACTGAAGGGTCCTGGGTTCGATTCCGGTCAAGGTTGCAGTCTCGAACCCCAGTAGGGGGCGTGCAGGAGGCAGCCTATCAATGATTCTCTCTTATCATTGATGTTTCTATCTCTCCCTCTCTCTTCCTCTCTGAAATTAAAAAAAAAAAAGATATGAGTTGGGAAGTTAGACATGAGCAGCTGGGGTTGGGCCTACCGTGGGTTCCTGAACAACATTGCCTTAAGACCAACTCTCTATGGGTGGCCTAGCAGACTGCCAGCAGGCAGGTTCCTAGCCAGCTGGCTCTTGGCGGTTCTTTGCACAGGCTCAGAGGAAAATGACATGACCTCAATGCCAATGTGACCTTACTAGGGCCTGGACTATTAATAATAAAATTCGCATTTTGGTTTTAACACCCCCTCCACCTCAGGTCCCTCCTGGTCCCCTTAGGTTTTTCTGTATACATTAGGGGTAAGGGGATGCCCAGAAAAATATAGCTCCTGTCAATCATCCCTGAATGCAAATGAAAGGCTCCACTCAGAAAATCCCTCTTTTAAACCCAGGAGTTGGGGGCCATTCTCCCTCTCCCTCTCTCGCTCCCCCGCTCTCCCGCCATGCTCCCCTGCTCCCCTACTCTCCTGTGCGCTCTACCTCCAAGGACCATTCCCATGACATTCCCTTTCCCCTTCCCTCCACCCTTAGGCACATATCCCCCAACCTCTAAGGGACCTCATGAGACTTGCAAACGGGGGAGAAAAGGGCAGTTGCAGCTCCTGCTGGGCTAACCCCCTGAACCTGTCTCCAAGGCCCTTTTTTCTCTGACTTTCCAGTGAGCTAATACAGCCCAGCCTTTGTCTCTCAACTGGAATATAAGTAGCCCAGTCATTTTGACTCTCTCTCTCTCTCTCTCCCTTTTGTCTGGCCTGCTCCTCATTTGGAATGTATCTTCCATAAACCCATTTTGCTTTACTTTCATTTTCGTTGACCTTAAAAATCTTTTCTACTATGACAAAAAGAACCAAGGTCCTGTTAACATAAAAACATTCAAATCTGTAAAGAATTTTTGTGAGTTTGAGCCAAACTGTCGACAATTGCCGGGAAGCAGAACCTCAACGGATTGAGATAATGCTCTGGAGAATGGTGAGTTAAATCTATATTTATACATTGCAATCAAAGGAAGGGACATAGGTGGGTTACATGACATTCATTGGTGATAGACTAGAGAGGCGGGAGAAAGCAAAGCGGGGAAACCCCTGGAATTGAATAAAAAGTAAAATGATAGACACATACTTAGGTGGGTGCAGGAACAATTAACATGATAACAATGAAGGAATTTGTGGCATCTGTCCTGGTGCCCAGGCACATTAAGTTGTGCCCCAAGGGGTCCAAAAAAAGGGAAGTTACAAATTACCCAGACACTTCAAGGGTATCCTATATAATAAAAAGCCTAATATGCAAATCAACTGAATCACGGGACGACTGGTTGCTATGATGACCACCAGGGGGCAGATGCTCAATGCAGGAGCTGCCCCCAACTTGCAGGCCCCAGGCCAGCCATGGCAGGTACCAGCAGGGACACCGCTAGTCGCCCTGTAGAGGGAGTCAGCCGGTGGTAGTGGCGGGGGCGGGGGCGGGGCCAGCAAGAGGGTGGCGCCAGGTCACCCAAGGCAGGTGCCAGCAGGGGCCCCCAATGTCCCCACCAGTTCCCCCCTATCGGCCCTGATCACCAGCCAGGCCTAG